GCAGCTCCACTTCCTATCCAGCTCCCTGCTTGTGGCCTGGGAAAGCAGCAGAGGACGGTCCTAAGCCTTGGGACCCTGCACCCGCGTGGGAGATGCGGAAGAGCTCCTGGCTACTGACTTCGGATTGGCGCAACACCGGCCATTGCAGCTGCTTGGGGAGTGAATCATTGGATTCACTCTGTATCTCCTCCTCTCTGTATATCTTACTTTGCAATAAAAATAAAGTAAATCTTAAGAAAAAAAAAAAAAAACCTGGTGAGCAAGAGTACTCTGGGTAGTGAGTTCAGAACGAAGCCAGATACAAGTGTCTGGAACACAGATGTGGTTTTAGGAGTCCAATTTTTAAAGATGCACCAACATCTTGTCTAACATAAAGACAGAATTATTGCACTTCCAACTTTGGATGAATAAGATAATCAAAATAGAGTTTACGGGACTTCTGGTTATATTGTTAGCATGGACCATGCTCAAGAGTCTCTGATTCATTTATTAGGTAATCTAAATTTTCCATTTTCAAATGGATTCCAGAACAAGGTTTTAAAAAAACAATCCATAGTTGATCCAATAATTCCCTTTAGAATTCTTGGATTTCCCAATGATAACACTCAGCATAGCAATACACAAATTACACACATGCTTTTTTTTTTTTTTATCAAGATAAAACCTTCTATTCCTTATTAAAAGCCCTCAGATACTCTGCTAACAAAGACTGAATAATCCCTAGGAAAATCAATGGGTCCATCTCCCTCTGGCTTGCTGCCATTACAGGCTCTTCCGGCAGCAGAATCAGTAATCACAACAGATAAGTGTCTAGTGATTGGCCTTGCTACGGGAAGAGAGAATAAGAACTGACTCAAGGAGAAAAGCATCTTCATTATAAATGCAAATGTGAAGCAGAATTCCTTATCACCTTTTCTTGTGATGCATTTTCTCACTATTTATGCTGCACCCATATATTAATTTAATAATTGAATATGAAAATCCTAAAAAGCATTTGATATTTAAAATGAAATGCTTTAAAGAAAATAAAATAAGGTAATCTACATATTGCATAAATTAAAATTAGGCTTCCTAAAAGCAATCCATATTCACACAGTTCTTTAATTTTAAATTGGCAAGGTATCTTCACACACAGAATAAATTCTTGCTTGACATATCTATGAAGGAGAAAAAAGTAATTTTTTCTATTCCTTTGGAGACTGAAACTGCCAAAGTAGAGAGAATTTCAGAAATTTTTACAGTTTCAGAAATAAAGACACCTTCTTAGACACTTTATAAAAATGCTTAGACTAATTTGATATGCCATATGAAATAAGAATTTTTATTCCAACTCATTTGGGTATTTGAAAAGCATTTTATTTGTGTTTATTTTTCAATATATGTCAAACACTGTGCTAGGTCTGGGGATCTAGACATGAATAAAATTATAAGCTCTGCCCTTATGAGAACATATACACACACAATTACCCATGTGTAAACACATCAGAATTGGTATTTTCTACATAGACACAGTAATCTGACACCACAAAAACAAAAACCACACAGCAATTATTAATTCTAAATGGTGCTGTTAGAAGGCTCTACGGAAAAGGTATTACATTTCACAGGATGACAAACAATCCATGAATCTCATGCAGAAGTGAAAGCAGGTTGGAAAGGTGAGTTCAAGGCAAGAGAAGAGACAAGTAAGAAGCAGAGGGAACCCGGGAGAAGCATGCGAGCAGAGGGTGCATCAAGTAAGAAACAAAGGCATCAAAGCTGTGGAATGCGCTGTGCTACAGCGGCCACAGCGGCCACAGCGGCGGGCAGCGGCCACAGCGGCAGGCAGCAGCCACAGCAGCCACAGAGGCCACGGCAGCCACAGCGGCCACAGCGGCGGGCAGCGGCCACAGCGGCAGGCAGCAGCCACAGCAGCCACAGAGGCCACGGCAGCCACAGCGGCCACAGTGGCCACAGCAGCCACAGTGGCGGGCAGCAGCCACAGCGGCCACAGCGGCCAGAGCAGCAGGCTCCATCTGTGTTCTGTTAGAACATTGGTTTTACTAGGAATATTAGATATCAAAACGCCTATGGGACAAATGTAATGCCATTCACTTTTTCACATTTTCAAGAGATTGCAAATTTCCTGACAAACCTTGAAATAGGGAGTAGGCACATTTTTTTTTTTTGAGAAAATTATCAGGATTCTTAAAATGTACGTTAGGAGTTTTATATCATCTATGAATTTTATTCGTTCGGGGATAGACATCTATAGGAAGCGAGTTCTGCTGAAACAGGTGTAGCAGTCAGCACTTAACCCCACTCTAAGCAATCATTTTCGTTACCTTTCTTTATGAAGTTACAATTTAGAAAGAGCAAATTTTAGGGACAATAAAAGCAAAGAGGAATATAGAAAAGTAGAAAATGAGTGAGAAATCTCCTGGCGAGCATCACTGATACTCTACCAGCAGACTAGAATGTAAACATATGCCTTTAGTTATAGTACACTTTAGAAAAAAAAAAATTTGAGAACCAAGAACTCACTATAAAACTAAAAATTTGACATTCTCATATAACAAACGAACTTTTACTTTACTACCCATAAATGATAGCAACAATATAGCACATTTAAAAACATTTTTCTTAAGTTGAAAAAGCCTGTCAATATTCCATAATAAACATTCTTCACTAAATTTGTAAAGTGATGCATGTTGGACAATTAAATAGACATCATCCAGGGAGAACTACTACGATATTCTGTGTGTTTATGCTGCATCACTGTGACAGTCTCTACACACATTCCCTTACACACACCTGTCAATCAGCCCTGGGCAGGAAATACTACCCTGAATCTACAAGCCAGGGAGCTGTCCCAAAAAGGCGAATCAGACCTCAAGAGTGATGCAGAGAAGGTAAGATTCTGATAAAGCAGACGATCTGAAGAAAGCATTACTAATATCAAACACATGGCTATTAGTCCCAAATAACTGAATGATCGTCACACACACACACACACACACACACACGACTTAAGTACACTTCACCAAAGCAATATGACTGACAAACAGGCACATAAAAATATATTTTAAAAAATACTCTCATAAAGCACATACGCAAGGTAAAAACAATGAAATACTAGTAGAACGGTTAAGTTACGGTCAGGTGTTAACAGAGATGTGACGGGGACTAAACGCTCACCCATCGCCGATCAGAATGTAAAACGGCACAAGGGCTCGAGAAAGCCGCAGGTTTTCCAAAGAGTTAGATGGCTTTACTATGTGGTCCAGCCATTCACATATGACCACATAAACGCTGTTATAGGCATGCCCCTAAGAATAGAAAAGTCACATACTAGGGACAACTCAGACATTTGCAATACAGGAAAGTAACAAATTTTTATATCTAATGATACTCAAAAACAAAAGGAAATGTCAATGCAAGGTTTAACACAGAAAAAAAAAAAAAAACTAAACACTGCATTAGTCAAAGAAACCAGGCAGAAAGCTGTGGACACTGCTCATTTTATTTACTTGAGTTCCAGAACACACAGACTCCTCTGCAGCCTGAGGAAGAGCAGGTCAGAGCAACTGCCCAGGTGGGGAGGAAGGAGCCCAGTGGGGCTGGCTACCTTCACCTGCCGCCAGTTTCACGGGTCTGTGAACCTGTCAAAGCCCGACAAAGCCTTGAGGCTCCAAGCTGAGGATGTTTGGCGGTCCTCCGCAAAGCCATGGCCATGTGTGCATTTCCTTTTTGCACCTGTACAACATTTTTTTTCGTGACCGTTTCTCCAACCTGTGACGATCCCACCAGTATTTTAACAGTTTTGCTTCACTGTAGTGGAAGAATGGGGGATGTCCTGCATTTTCTTCAGTGAGATCATCCTAATTTCCTCAATGTCCTGTAACAATTCTATACATTCTTGATAGGCTAAATAACATTTTAATTATAATTTTTATCAAGTTGTCCTTTAAACTATATATATATATAGCCAGCACAGTGGCTTAGCAAACTAATCCTCCCCCTGTGGTGCTGGCATTGTATATGGGCACTGGTTCAAATCTTGACTGCTCCACTTCAGATTCAACTCTCTGCTAATGCCTCGAGAAAGTAGTGGATGATGCCCCAAGGCCTTGAACCCCTGCACCCACGTGCCAGGAGAACCAGAGGAGCTCCTGGCTTCTGGCTTTGGATCAGCTCAGTTCCAGCCCTTGCAGCCATTTGGGAAGTGAACCATGAGATCTCTCTGTATCCCCAACTCCGCCTTAAATCCTCCCTTTAAAGTAAAATAAGACACTTTTAAAAATTTACAACTGTTTGTACCATCTCTGACTTTTCAAGAAAAAAAAAACATAATAACTAACAAGCTCATAGCCAGTTTCTGTATTTTTCTTCTTTTCCACACTACCTAATTTCTTCATAATAAAGCTCTCTTGCATTCTAAAATAGAATGTCTGTGTGTTTTGAAGGAAAGCATTGCCCGCTTAGAAACTCTTGAAATTCTGCCCACTATAATGACAAGTGTTTCTCCGCCTTTTTTGTTTGTTTTTTGTTTAAGCTAACGGGAGCATTTCAATTGGGTAACTACCATTAAGGTTTTATAAATATTTCTGGGGACAGCCTCAGGATCGATAGCAGTGGCTTTCATGGAGGCGCCTGGCACTGCCTTGCCTCACCCATTCCTGTATTGCGACAGAACAGGACAGAGTGGGGGAAACCCACACCCCAGTTCCTCCTTTCCACGGACTCAGGTGTGACTCAAGACACTGACAAACTCGAAAGGCCCTCGAGCTGCAGCCTGCGCGGGCAGCTGGCTGATGTTGGGTCCAGGCACCATGCTCCTGTCCCCTGCCCCAGCTGCCCAGGGCCTCTTCCTCGGCGTCGAACCCCGCACCTCTGGAAGGGGAGAGGCGTGTGACGCAGGCGCCGTCGCCTAGGGTCGCGTTCTGCTTCGGACCCGCCGCCCCGGCGCTGCCGGCAGCGCGCGAAGGCCCCGGCCTCGCTTTGTCCACTTCCGGGGACGGATGGCCACGCTGTCCCGTCTCTGGTTCCTGTCCAAGCACGTGGCCTGCTCGCCGGTGTCCCTGCGCCACGCGCGCAGCGGCTGCGCGCTCCCGCCGCGCTGGGCACCCCGGGGTCCCCAGGCTCCCCGGCCGGCCGCCCCCCGCCGCCGGCTGGCCGCCGCGGCCTCGGGCCAGGACCCCTCGCGGGTGCGCCAGAACTTCCACCCCGACTCGGAGGCCGCCGTCAACCGCCAGATCAACCTGGAGCTCTACGCGTCCTACGTGTACTTGTCCATGGCCTATTACTTCTCCCGAGACGACGTGGCCTTGAACAACTTCGCCCGTTACTTCCTTCGCCAGTCGCGCGAGGAGACCGCGCACGCCGAGACGCTGATGAAGCTGCTGAACCAGCGCGGAGGTCGGATCTCCCTGCGGGACGTGAAGAAGCCGGAGCGGGACGACTGGGGCGGCGGGCTGCAGGCCATGGAGTGCGCTCTGCAGCTGGAGAAGGACGTGAACCAGTCTTTGCTGGAACTGCATGCGCTGGCTTCGGACAAGGGAGACCCCCATCTGTGCGATTTCCTGGAAACCCACTACCTAAATGAGCAGGTGAAGTCTATCAAAGAACTAGGGGACCACGTGCACAGCTTAACCAGCATGGGGGCCCCGGAGGACGGCCTGGCAGAGTACCTTTTTGATCAACATACCCTTGGAAATGAAAACAAGCAGAACTGAACCGGGCTACTCCTAAAACCCAGAACCAGCTGCCACCTGCTTTCTTGCCCCCAAACCTCGCCTCCAACTTGGTATTTTCCTCCTGTTACAATGAAGTGATTCGTCGAGAAAAATCTATTTAGCACTCTGCTAACAAGGGATTTTGGCCAACATCAGGATGCTGATTCTCAGCCTATAAGATAGTCCAGGATAAGATGGCATGGAAAAGACTGCAGAAACAAAACAGAATGTTTGTTGTACATACAGTTTCTCCAGTCACCAAATATTAGTCCAGACATGAACCTACACTAAAATTCCACGATTTTCAATTCAACAAGTGTCTCTCATTTTCAACTTTCTGCAAAAAAAAAACCCAAAATCAGAAAATGTGGAAGACAAATGCACAAGCAGCTTTAATAAGAACTGATTATCTATAAAGCTCTGTACAAACACACACACATGCAAAATCCCATTACAGCTGCTACGTCTGCCCAGTGTGTTCCAATGAACAATAGTGTAGGAAGTTGATTTGTTCTGTTTTTTTTGTAAAGGTTTTATATGCAAATCTGAGATGAATTATATAAGATAAAGAATGTTGGCCTTGGAGAGTCACGGTATAAATTGGCATTTTAAGGGTTCAGGAAAGTCTTGCACTTAAAAAAAAAAAAAGAAACAAATGGGAAAAGTTTGACTGTATGGTTCCGCTCAGTGTTTCCTGGACATACAGTCTCAGTGGTTGCTTTTCAGCAGGATAATGTAACAAAGCCCGTCTGTGATTTCAGAATATGAACACGTCAGCAGTGGGTTACATGGTCTACTCTAGAACCTATTTTAAAGAGTGAAAACATGCACAAAACACTTTTCTATAATCTTTAAAAATCATGGGCCAGAACATCCGGGTAGAAGATCAATAAAGGGCCAAGACTGAAGGAGGCATCCTACTGGAAAAATGTTTCAGTAAAGGGTGTAAGTGTGGGATCCGTGGAGAATATTTGGTGATGGAGCATTGAAATAGACCACACCACTGGTGGGGATGAGAACGCTAGGCTGGAAACATAACACGGAGGAGAGAGAAAGGAGGGTAATCTTACTGCAGTGGGGAAAATCGGTACCTTCTAAGATGTCTGGCAGAAGAATACTGTGCTAAAATTAAACTATCAGAAGCTTAATCTGAGAACAACCTAAGTGTTTTATTAATGAGGTTCCCCTGAGACAGTGATACTCAAGTGAGATCAAGTGTGCACGACATTAAAGGAGACAGGAGCCCGACAGGAAATGTTAACATCCTGGGAGGAAGGAGCAGGGAACCTTTAGATTTTAGGGACTCCTGGTCCCCAGGGAAGAAAGTAAGCAAGGTCATGTAAAATTGTGTGGAAAGTGTTGGTCTGGGAGATCTCCAGCAGTCTCCAGTCAGGAGTGTGGGTCTCCCAGAAATGAGCCTGAGTAAGCTCTGGTCTGCTGTCCAGTAAGGCTGGAAGGGACCATGGAAGGGACTAAGGAGCTTCTAGAGAGCAGAGCGATGCGACCCTTGGCCAGTGATGCTTCTGCAGTCTGGAATCTGAGAAGCACATGCGTGACTGTACAACGTCAACAGCACGGTCCAGGTTAACGCACTATACCTGGAACAGCTTTCTGATGCTGCTGCCAGGTACAATATTACTACGACATGGGCAGAAATTCACAATGTGTTATCTTAAAAATGATCAACATTACAGGACAGCTTCATTATAATCTGATACATTATAGAGAAAGCATATATGGGTTAAAATGTGGTAAGTATAAATACCAAAAAGGGAAACTGGACAATCTCTTAAACAGGGTATAATTAATCTTTATTTTTTTAATGAATTTAATATGGACAGCCATTATATTAAGAAAAGCAAAGCAAAATATAATGTGGAGAGAAAAGTGAAGCGCTAAACTATGCCAAAACCAATGAGGATAGAAACACAGATGTGTGGAGATATTAAAGGCAAAATATTTCAAATGTTGCAAGCAACTGAAGAGAAGGAGTTACAGAAATAAGGCATGAGAGGAAAAGTGAAGTCTCTGCGATCCGAATTACTAGAAAATAGGGGATTTCAGGATAAATACGGATCTCACGAGGCAGAATAATGTTTCTGGCTTTGATGACACTAATCCATCTCACTTCTATTCTGCTCTCCATGAGCCAGGTCTTACTGCATAGGAATCCTATTACATTGCCTTAGAAAAATTCCTCTTCAATTTTTCTAGATGAGTGTTTTTCAAACTACACTTTGCAGCCCATTACTGTGTCATGAAATTATTCAGCGAGTCACTAGCTACCTTCTGTGAATAAAACAGAATTGCTTTGAAGTAAAATTAAGTAAAGTATGGGTATTATCTATTGAAAATCCTTTCACAGGTGTGCGTGTGTATGTGTGTGTGTGTGTATTTCCTATTCTGTTCTGCTTTCAAAAACATTCAATAGCCATTCACCTAGATCATTCTTTCACAGATCCTCCTTTTCCTTCAAATCAAACCCCCCTCCCTTCCCATTATCAGCTGATAATCCTCTTATTTTGCTAAGAAGTAATCACAGCAGAAAGTCACACTTTCACATCATTGAATTAATCACTTACTAAGTCCTGTGCAGCTACAGTGGTCAAAAAATCCATGTCTTCTACTGAAACCAACCTGCTGCAAGGTCCTCAAATCCTCGCCGACCCACAAACTCAAGGACACATGGACGGCAGTCTTATGATAATCCTTTTGTATCAGTCTGCTGGTTGGTACTTATATGGACACAAACATCATATCATTGTCCATTCATCCTTAAAAATGTGCCACCATGGTGTTCCTATGCCCTCCAATGAACTCTAAGCTGTCGCCCTCTTCTTACCTTCCTTTTACAACGAAAAAAGCCTTCTCGTAGCTTCTGCTCTGTGTCCTCTGCTTGTTCTCGCTACTTCCCAGGTCAGACTGTGCTCACCACCACACCAGCACTTTGCTCCAATTTCTTCCAAGGGTTAGGGAAGGTCACTTCTTAGCTTTTCTCTGACTCAGCCAACTGGCAGTACTGCTCTGTTCTCTCGTCCAGTGAATGCTCACTGAACTCTATTTCAGTCACCCCTTCCATTCTCTCTTATCTTCTGACCTGTAAACACTGGTGGGCCCCGACGCTGGCCCTCTCCTCCAAGCTGCCCTCTTCTATCTGTGCTTGCTCTCTAAAGGTCTCATCTAGTCCAGGCACTTTTACTTAGATCAATATTTGTTGAAAAATCACATTTCCATAGCTTACTTTGGCCACCCATTTGAACTCCAGATAAACTTCCAAAATACTTAACTGATATTTTCTTCAACATTACACATCAACATGTTCAAAACCATATTTTACCCTTCCAACCCCATTTCTTGTTCCATAATAAATCAAACTTCATTCTTCCAGGTCCTGTGGACCAATGTTCCTTGACTACTCTCTCTTATGCTGCAGCCAGTCCCTCAGCAAAGTCTCTGAAGTCCTGCTTGGAAGCAGGTCCTGAGTCTTAACCACTTCTCCTAACCTTCATCACTGCCAGTATGCTGCAAGTTCTCACTTTTTCCAGAATTATTGCATTTTATATCACATTTATAACAGATCTAACTGCTTCTACACTTGAGCACATGCCATTATTCCTCCCCCAAGTGGCCAATGTATTTCTCGCTGAGTGTAAATCACATCTTTTTACTTCTCTCCTCTGAAACCCTTTGCTGTTTAATCACTCCTCCTCTTCTAATGTGGAGGAGAAGTCAAAGTCCTGCCCCAATATCGCTTTCACTTGGAGTATTTCTCTTGTATTTCTTTTTATTTGAGAAAGAGCAAGTGTTCCCTTCTGCAACTCAGTATGACCTGAATGGCTATGTGTTCCCAAACCAGCACACACCAGAGAATGAACAAGTGGCATAAAACTAAACTGATAAGAGGTCACATTGTTTACATTGGCTGAATTCAAACTTCTAAGCTAAAAAAGTAAACAATGCCACCCACTGAATTATGGCTGTCAGTAATATAGAAATATTTAAATCAACTTTAAATTCAAGATACCAGTTTTAAATAAATATAAGCTATCTTAAGATGATAAATAAGCTTCTACCCCAAGTCTACTATTTAAAGAGATTTTAGTTTGCAATGCACATACCTAAAATGGAGCCAAATGAAGGGTAGATTTTTAAAAAAAAGCAATATGCAGAAAGAAATTACTGCAAACCCCAAATATGATGATATGATGGTAGGCTTTATTACTCTTGGAAACAAAGACCCAGCAATGCCATAATCCAAGTCCTTCAGACTTCCTGCAGAATAGATGGTGTGTTCTAACACTCATGGCTCCTGCAAACCATGAGCCTTCCCATTGCATTGTAAATCCAGTTTTGTTGAACTCCCTTAAGAAGCACTTAAAATACCTGCCAAGAACTCCTTGAGCAGAGATTGCGTGTGGGGGGAGAGGGCGGGAACCTTAAAAGAACCCCACTGAAGCTCTGAGTTTGCCCGCACTCGGTGAACACAGAGAAGATGATGAGCATCTCCACAGAGGCAGTGACATGGAGCAGTAAGATTCAGGCAGCACAGATGCTCTCAAAACACTCCACGTCCACTCATTCCACACACGAAGGAAAAGCACATCCAGAAAGCACACAGAGTCGCCCCTCAGAACTGGCAAGCGTATGACCTTGGCTTACAACAGCCTCCTACACATCAACAGGAAAGCATTACTCAGTGTGTGCAATCACATCAGTGTATAGGCTTTGAGTTGTGTCATCAGCTTTATTAGCTTTCCTAATTATTGATTTGTGTTGTGTGAGTTTAAGACTCTTACTAGGTACAATAGTTACTGGGGTGTGTGTGTGTGTGCGTGCGCGTGTGTGTACCAACAGATGAGAGTGACTGTCTGGAAATTCCAGAGAACAGACCACAAGCATTTAGTAAGGTTGGGCATCTTCCAAACACACTGGCTGACTTCCCAGCATGGAGCACGGTAGCCAAGCATTTCCTCAGAGTATCTAATGCGTTTGACAATACCTTAGTCTGCCTCAATGGCCCTAAGCATCACATTTTCATTCACTGAAAGAGAAAAAAGGATTTCCACTACCAATAACTGTCACTAGACTGATGGAATTTCAACTACGCCAATGCCCTTGCATGCCCCAGTCTATAGATCGTAGGCAGTATGATCTGGCCCTCAGTGGTTGCATTTGAGAAGAAAGATCATCTAGCTGAGAGT